TGGTCTCAGGAGGCTACGACTTTACAAGAGTGAATAAAGTGAATGTGATTGGTCCATTATCAGGGGGGCGTGATTGTTATGGCGTAAGGTTCAGAAGCAAGTTTAGTTGTGGCCGGTTTGTTCGGAAGCATCTTGCTAACCAGTTAGCAACTTAGTGCTAGCAGGGAAATTCCATTGGGACCAAGTAGCACTAAATTGGTGACTTAGAAACGACGCTGTCAAGGAACGAAATGGACAGAGGAAACATGCAAGAGGAGGAGAGGTTAGTGTCGGAGGTCGTGGATGAGTCTCCTCCATCAGTCACCTCTCTGCCTCAGTCACCATAGAAACCGTCCCACGCCGTTTATTTCTGCGTTTTTCTTTTCTTTAGACGTAGATCTCATTATGTTTTTAACAGATGAACATTCTCTTTCTGTTCTGGTTCTAGATGCTGCACAGACTCATTAAGTGGGGCTTTGCTTTATAGAAAGCTCCAGCATTTTTTATTTTTGATAACTTTTCATAATCTGTAAAAGGCAAATGTGGGAAAGCGTTTTAATTTCATAACACAGAAACGGAAGTGTAAAGAATCTGCACAGATCTGCTCATCCTGCCTAGTTGGAGCCTCTCTATACGGTCAGTGAGACATGAAGGAAAAATCTAATTGGAGATTAAAAAATTTTCAGGCCTTAAAGCAGCATTCATTTGTCCACATTTATCTACATCTCTGTAAAGTTTCATAACAAAAGTACAGCCATGTATCTACAGCTGAACCCCACTTTTCACGTGAAACAATCTGATTCTGCAGTTTGGATCAGATTTAAAGTCCCCCACTTCCTCATCTGCATCTATATTTGGATTCTGGGCGTCTTTTGAGGATCTGTTTGTCAATCAGTATTGGCATAAAGAATGTTCATCCTGTCGATGAAAAACTTCCATCAGTTCTAATTAACCCTCTCAGTTCCTGCTGCCAGCGGGACATCTGAGCACACAGAGGTAAGTAAACCCTGAGTGTCAAAGGTCAGCACAGGCGGTGCAGAGACGCTGAAGGCGATCCATTAAAGAGATAAAAATGTGGGAGAGGATTTCCAAATTTCCCGTAAACGTTTTTGACACATTTAGGTTGTTATCTCTCCTTAAAAGTGCTGTTTAATAGTTTAGAGTCTAATTTAGCGTTTGTTTTAAAGCCTTAGGAATGTAAGACACCAATAAAAGTTTTCACAAGTGCACCATTACCAGCACTGGTGGATGTGTTTGTATGGACTAGTTGTTTTGGTACAGTGGCTGCTAATAAGCATGCTACACCTCCTATAAAATCACTGGCACACAGCTGGGTCTCCACCTGATTACTTTCAGGTGTGTCTGTTTGATTCTTGCAAGTGGCCACAGCCTGACACCTCTAACGAGACTAAATGTGCAAACTTGTATGTGTGTGGAGGGGGTAAGACAACATTAAAGGCAACATGAAAGCTATAAAATGGTCCAGCTTTGTTGAAATGTGCTAGAGGGAAAATACATGTTTTTGTATGAGAGACATAAAAGAAGGGGTATGTGGTAGCTTCAGGCTACCAATATGTTACCTTAAGATGTATTAAAAATGTTGCTGCTAAAAGTGGCTGCATGTTGGAGTGACTGAGGGCCCCGTCACATCTAGCCGATTTAAGGCCTGGTTATCCTCCCACAGCAGTCTGTCGCAGGGAGCTTGACGCAGATATTTTTGATTTATACCCAAGATTGAAGCGGGGTCTGCGCTGTGTTATTCCACGCCATAATGCAAGAGGAAGAACTAGCTGTGGGTCTAGATACGGCCGAGGCGGTGAGGAAGTGGGGGAAAGTTTGTGCGACCATGGAGCGGTGATGCAGGTGGGAAAAGGGTCCCAGTGTTCTCCCGCACCTCGCTCTTCTGGTCCATCTTCACCAATCAGTTTCCACAATGGCGGTCATACAAACAAAACAAGGCGGTGCAGGTACCAGACCTGCTCGGGTCCCCCCCCCTTCTTATGAGGTCAATATATGGCAACTTCACTCGGACAAAGTATATTGCATGCGTTTCTTAAGGATCAAATCTCTTTTGGAGTCTCAACATATTATTACCTATATTGGCTCTTTTTTTTACATTTCATTGGTGATCTAAATTAGCCGAAAGTAGAAAACAATCATTATCAGTCTTGAAGGAAAGTACTGCGTTCTTAAACTGAGCTCTGCCATTTAACAAGGTGACAGAAAAAGTCTGTTTATTTTAATCTTCTTTAATTTTATTAAGATCTGAGGGCAGAGGAGAACAAATGGAACGTCCTAAAAAATGAGTTTCGTAGAGATTTTTAACAAAGAAAACAGTTAATCTACTTGTAGAAAACGAACGGTTGTTGTTGACACAAAGCCAACAGTAGTATAGCTTAATATGCTAACTGAGCAAGCTAAAATATGCTAACCTGTTAGCTACTGAGCACAGCTAGCCACAGCGCTACCCAGCTCTTTATATTAGTTACTTTGTTCACCAGAAACAGATTTTTTTCAGTTTTGTTATTAATCAGGTAAAACTTCATCACTCATTAGACACCCTAACGCTACAGATGCTCCTGAATCGCCACGCTGTGATGTTATTATCGTTGCCTTGGCAACCACAATGTTTTACATCATGTGGCAACGTTCAGCCAATCATGTAGCGTAACGTCACTGGCATGAAGCAGGACCCGAGCAGATCTGGTAGCTACAGCAGTAAGTTATCAAACAGGAAATACGCATAGTGTAGAGCAGATGTCGATTTGACCAATCAGAGGCCTCCTGCCTGCGGTCAGCTACAAGTTTGTAAAGGTGCAGCAGGGTGTCTGCGGAAGGGGCGGGGCATATCTGCTTTAACTGCGACACACATGCAGACCACCTGGTTTCTGAGTATATGAGTATATACTGGTATAAACAGCCATTAAAATCCTGAACTTTCTATGTATTTTTTCTATTTTGGGCGTATACATCGAGTATTCATAACGAGTCCAGAACTTATGTCGTAGCCTAACTTATGCATGATGCACGGCAGGCTAATCCCCATGAAATGATGCACAAGCATCATGCCTTCTCCGCCTGACATTCCCCAAATGGCGAAATATCACCAATGTAAACAAACATAAGTTCCTGAATGTTACAGGTGCCGCCATTTTTGTTTGCATAATCCCCGCCTTTGTAGCTGTAGTATCGTGGGCTGCCAATAGGAGGCGAGTAACTGTGCTAGCGTGATGTGTAAATGGTCGTAAGCTCAAGCTCAGTTCACTGATCCAAGCTCGGTCCGAACTCGGCACGGATCAGTTTCAGACGGCTAGTGGAAATGGGACACTAGTCTTTATTTGGGCCTCACTTTTCTTAAGGCTTGGCCCTCTGCTGGTCTTACAGAAAACTATAAGCTTAAGCTTCACTGTTTTTTTTTTTTTTCCTACTTTTTAATGAACTCTAATTGTTTCTGTTTCTTTTTTGCAGGGTCAGTTTGCTGCAGAAGGAGTTCCTAAGTTGGCCGTCACCTTCAGAGCTGACAGTGAGTTTCTCTTTGACTGAACTAAATGACAGAGCCCAAAATATAAATTGTGTTTTGTTTGTTTAAAAGAAACTTAATATCCATCTGGAGGATTGGAATAACTATTTTAAGCCGGGTGTATCAATTTCCTGACTCAACGATTTGAATATTTTCAATACTCAGGAGTAAACCACAATTCGTTTAGATTAATTGGTAACTTTTTTTTTTAACTTACAGGCTAGAAAATATTTGAAATAAATCAATGAAAGCTCTAATATCATTATGCATTTTATTTGAGAAACAACAGCAAATAACAGAAGTAGCAAATGTGTGCTCCACCTAGGCCTATTAAAACCTCATTCACTGAAAAATAATAGGTTTAGCGCCCCCGCAGCATGGGAGTCAGAATTACGTCCAGGAGCAAATGGATCAAAATAGACCAGAGGAAGTAAAAAAACATGAATTAATGAATCAATACTCTTGCAGACGTTGCGTCGGATCATCGGCTTTTGGATCGATGCATCGATACAAAACTATTATTATTTCAACCTAGTTTTTAGACATACAGTGTGAGCAGAGCAGGTGGATCGCATCAGAGCGTCGGGTCGCACAGCGTGAGAACAAACATGATGAGCTGTGAACTTTTAAACCCTGAGGTTACATCGTACAGTGTGAGCTGTAGCTGCGTGCAACAATTGAAAATAATCGCAGTGTACGCCTGGCTTTAGAGTGATGATGTGATGTTATATTTATTTCTAGTCTAAAACATAATGCACAAGAATCGAGAAATGTGTTTTTTCCTCAAAGTATTCTGCCAGCTGATCCTCAACCATGCATTATATAACAGATCAGTGTGCAGATTCTCACAGCCAGAACTCCCTAGAGCTGAGAGAACAAAATGATGTAATTCAGCTCTCTCATATGTGGGAGTGAGAAAATAAAACCTTTTGCTTCTGGTGGAATATGGATCATCTTTAAAGATGATACATCATCGGTAACCGACTGCCATCTTTGATTTCAGTGCAGCCTACAGTGCACATAAACTAAGGTACACATGATGTATCTTAGAGTAAAAAACAGCTCAGGTTTTATGATTTTATGTTTTTATTTTTTGTTCTTGTTAAATGGTGTTTTTCCCAAGCCTAGGCCAGTGTTACCCCCCGCCCCCCCCCCCCCCCCCACCCCCGCCTTCCCTCCCTGCTGCCCCCTCTACCCCAACCCCCCCATCCTTTGCCTCCTTCCTCTTTTGTTCCTTAAAGTCAAGTTCCTGAGCCGTGGCCAATCCATGCCTCCTGCTTTTGTCCGTGACCATGAGCGAGGAAGGGCTTTAAAATCCCTCTTTGTACATTAATCTGTGTGTGTGTGTGTGGGGGGGTACTTATGTAGTTTTTAGTAAAGCAGATACCTGTACATAATAATTTATTTAATACTTTTTTTGTTTTACGCTCTTCTAAAGATGTCAGAGTTGCAGGATCTATTTTAATATACACACATTTCTTGATTTCTAAGTTTGAAGGAGAAGCAGCAGGGATGTTAAATTATATTTTTATTTTATTTCTATTAGCTAGTTTGAAGGCTAAACACTATCGATGTCCACCCTCTTGTTGTAATTTGTTGATTTTTTGTTTTTTTTGTATCCTTGTCCTGGTTGCATCATCTTGGTCTAATCTACGCTCTTCTAGATGTTTTCAATAGAAGATATTAATTTTCATTTATTCTAAACTTTTCTGCGGGATCGTTCAGAGGTCAGGAGGTCATGTGACTTTGAGGTGCTGATTCTGTCGCCTCTGAGGAAAAGAAGCTGAAAACCTCAAACACTTTAAGGCACCGGAGTTTGTTAGCATGACAATCCCCTCCTGCCTCGTATGGACGACACACCTCAGTGGTTCCTCTCCTCCAGCCGGACGGAGGATGAAGGAGGAGAGTCGAGCTTCCTTTGCTGCTTCCAGTCAAAGTCACAGAGAATATGAAGCGAGGAGACCTTTGACCTCCAGTCGGTTGTCGATGACCGGAGACGAGATGTGAATGAAGTCAAACAGGGTTTCTACTGCGGCTTAAAAAGTCTTAAGATTAATCAGATTTCTTTTCAGCCTTGACCAAGATTTTCCAAATGGCCAATCTAAGCCTTAAATAATAAAAACTTGTACGGTACATTTCTTTATTCATTACATATTATTTATTCCAGGATTTTTATCACTAGCTGAAGATAAGATAAAAAAGCATTTAGGCCCAGCAAATGTTCTGGTTCTTTTCTTTACCATCAATATTTAACAATCCTGAGCTTCAGAATAAGGACTGTAATAGTTTGTGTTTGATTATTTCTATGTGTTGGTGATCATTTTTTATTTGGATATAAATGGTGTCAAATTTGGAAGAAAAAAACATTTGTCAGTTGAAAGCCTCACAAGTATGGAAGAAAAACAGTCACCGAATTTTAAACACTGAATTTTTTTACACATTAAATTCCTTACACTGAAATAATATCGGGTAAAAATTTGCCTCCTCAATTAGCCTTCTGGTGAACTCAGGCCAAAGCAATCGACACTCGATGCAGAAGTTCAGTTCACCAGATCATCCAATCAGATTGATTCAAAGTTTTCTATCTCAGGAAAACCAGCTGATTGCATCGACTCATTGACTCTTCAGCAATCCCTCACACTAAGCATGCTTGTAGCGACAGTGGAGAGGAAAAACTCCCTTTGAACAGGAAGAAACCTCCAGCAGAACCAGGCTCAGTGTGAGCGGCCATCTGCTGAGGCCCACTGGGGTTCAAGGAGACAGAAGCAGACATAGAAAAAGAAGCATAGATACAAAAGGCAACTGTCAACCAGCTCCACAGGCGGCCCCGTCCAGGAAACACACAGCCAGGCAGACGAGCTCCGAGCCAGCTCCCATGTCAGAGGATGAAGAGAGCACATCCAGTTAGTCACAGTGAGAGAAACAGGACTACACTGGAAAACAGGCCAAGCTCCAACATCTATGAACAAAGGTGTTCGTAGATGGGTCGGGTTGCGTTGCTGCCGTCCCAGCAGGGTTTAAATGGGAATAATTGCAGGTCTTGGTCCTGGATTCTATGGGTGCGAGCGGATACAGTTTTGAAAAACCAGACCAGTGCAGGACTCTGACATGACAAACGTGGCGCCATCTGCTGGCAGAACCACAGATCTATCAGAAAGTCAAAGAAGGATCCAACTTGAAGTTACCTTCCTCCCTAACTGTCGGCATCTTCGATAAACTCTTAACCACAGAGGATGCTTCTTTCTTTTAAGTAGATGTGGTTTAAACGTAATATTACTTCCTGTGCTCCAAAGATGAAAATAAGCTCTTTCTTGATGCTTTTCTTTACTTTTTAAGCAATGGAATCAGCTCTTGTCTCTGTCTGCATCCTCTTCCCGCCTTGGAAGTTGAATTCCAACTTGAAGGAGAAACAAAAGAAAGGGGGGCTATCTTCATCCTTCACTGGATTCTGCCTCTCCTTCTGTGTCTTATGAAATAAATCAGAGGACAAAGATTGAATGAGGTAGAAGAATAGTGACTAAATCCGCTCCCTTCCCCTGGCGCTCTATGGAAGACGAAGAGGGAAAGACGTAGAGCAGCCAGCTGTGACCTCCTTCCTGCAGTCCTGAACATGACCTGCTTCTGAGGAGGAAGACGGCGAGAGGAAGAGGAGCAGTGACTCGTGTCATCTTCCTCTTTATGCTCCTCCACTCCGTCCTCATCGCCATCAATAGATGGAGGAAAGGGGAGCAGTGAGTCGTGTCTGAGGCCACGCCCCCTTTTTTCCTGCATCTGTAGCCTGGCTTTTCTCATGGCTTCAAGCCTGGCTGCTTTGCATCTTTCTCTGCCCCTTCGTCTTTAATTGAATAAAAATGAGGAAACCTTTGAATTGAAGTGGTGTTTTGGCAACAAATGACAGAACTAGAAAAGCACTCGGCGAGCGCAGACCTCCGCCAAGCAGCAAATGATGCCACATACTGAGACTTAAAGCTAAAACTCACACAGGATCTGGATCATGGCCAAATTCTAATAACAGCCAAACTTCTCAAGAAATTCCAGCAAAATCTGTGCAGAACTTTTTTTTTTTTAGGTATTTTGAAAAGGAACGGACAAACCAACTCTGAGACCATAACCTCCTTGGTGGAGCTGATAAAGCAATGAAAGTGTGGTTGGAGCATAGCAGACAGGTCAGACAATAACTTCTGGTGATGATGCCCCATCATGTGACCTTGCAAAATGTTTTACAAGGTCATATGATGGGGTATCGTCACCATAACTTACTTTATGCTAGTCAATTTGCATGTTTTCTAAACAAAAACAAGGCTTTGTTGGGCTGCTGTATAAAACCTGGAACTCAACGCTATTTCTGACATTTTTAATTGAAAAAGCTTCCTGGATGGAAGAGAAACGTCTTTAAACTTGGAAACAAAGTCCAGCGGATTGTTTTTTGTTTTTGTTTTTTTTCTGGGATGACATAAGTTGCTTTCATTTCATCAGAAGTCTCCCCTGGTGTGCGTCCTTTCAAATACAAAAATTCTGACTTTACTCAGTTCAAAAACCTGTAAACCAGAAACCACAATTAGTTCAGAGCTGTAATTCATCACTTAATCAATAGAGATATAAATAATTACACGTGCATAATTTCAGCTAGATCAAACGACCAGATGTCAGTCAGGGGCATTACTTATTGAAAACCGCTGGCATATATTCCTACTAAAAAATTCCCCATTTTCCTTGATGGGTCCTTGGCTGGTCCCCTACAATTCCTTTATAAGAATATTCTTTCTGTCCTGATTTGTGGAGATTAAGATCTAAAGAGAAGCGCCATCTCCTGGACAGACTCTGTTTAAAGTAGGGTAATGTTTCTCTTTAAACATCAACCATTGATGTTTACCACCTCCGATGTCAGATACCTGTTCTCCAGGGAAGCTCCCACCCAGAGGCTTGAATCTTAGATGCTGTTTACATAATACCACCTTAAACCTGCAACAAAAGATGTGGTATCATTACAGTTTTCATAAAACATTGGGGGGGATTTCAAAGACGTTGCCCCTTGACCTATTAATGTAAAACCAGATATTTTCTTACATGCTCTTTTATAACATTGAATAAAGAAGGAAATCTCAGTCGTTTCTCTCCAGCTAAAGAGAACTAGTCAGACATGAACTTTCATTTCATATATTCCAAAAGTTAAGGTGAGACAAGCATATGGCTATAAAAGGAAGACGGACAAACAGAGAGTCGCGTGAAAAGGAAAGCTCAGATTCTGACAGCATATATGCTTTACCAGCAGCATTACCTTCAGTCAAACATGAGTCGACCCGCTAAAAATCAGCATTTGGCCCACTTCCCACTGGCAAAGAAATCTGGGTCTAACCCCACGCTGGCAGCTGCGTGTCTGGTGACACCCTCACTCTGGGTTAGCGTTGATGATTTCACCAATGCAACAGTAATCAGGGAAGTAAACAATGGAGAGCACCATGGAAGGAAGCCAGGGTGTAGTCAGTGCGCTTTATCGTTTCTCTGTTATCTGTCTAAATCCCTCTGACCAGAGCTGCTCCATGTTTATCTAATGGAAACAGAGTTGATTCTGCTTGTTGATCCGAAACCACTGGCGCAGTGTGTTGACATCCGTACGATGCGTTAAATGGTATCCCATAAATTAGCGGGTCGACCCGGCTCTGGTGTTCCCACAGCATGACGTTCAAAGCTGAGGAGATTTCAACAAGGGTCGTTCCCAATGCCACTAAAAGCACATTGTTCCCGGGTTTAAACTGTATTTTTGGCCAGTGGGAATGGGGTATAAAAAGTTAGAAAATATGAAAAGAAAAACTATTTTTCGTTCAGGTTTTTTCCAGCTGGGATCATTATTTCCACAGAGGAAGATCCTCGAAGCTCAGCTCTACTCTCCACAACTTTTCCCCTTTAAAACTTATGAGTTATTAAAAGTTAGTTTCCAAAAATCATAAAAACTATTGATGATAATTAAAAAAAGTTATTGTTTGTTTTTCAAATTTGTCTTTGCATATTTTCTTATCTTATAAGGCCTCTCTAGTGAGATATATGGTGCATTATAAATAAAATTATTATTATTTCTTAACATTGTCCCCAATTGCTTTGCTGTATTCAAATATTAAAAATAAAGTCCATTAACTGTAAACCTTCAGTTCCTTTAGCTGTTTAGTTGTCTGAAAGTTTTGGTTTTGAAGCGACTCCAGCTGTGATTCCTGCTCGCTGCTGCTTTTGGCTTTCTGGCTCCGGGATAAAAATCTCAGTGGAAGGAAGAAACAGACCTATAAATGAGAAAAGATTTCTTAAAATATGTTGGGGTTTTTTTGGCTTTTATTTAAAGATTATTTGCCTTTTGGAATGAGTCATTTTCATCTCTAAAATAAGATGATTTTATATATATATCCATGTCAAATAAGCAGTCGTTTGGGTTGCTTATACCTTGGGTCGGCCCTGCCGTTACAGATATGGAACCCTAACAATAACTTGATGTCAACCGTGACCAAAACAGTGGAGGCTTATTTGCTTATTATGTCTTATAGATTCTTAATGTTTTTTTCCATATATTCCTCCGCTAAGGTGTCCATTGTGTCTTTTCTTTGCAGACTGCTCGTTAAGCTATCCACTGGGGAAGCATGCGATCCATGAGGTCTCAGACATCTCCTTCAGCCACCTGGCCTGTGATGACCAGGCTGCCGTGGTCGTCCACTGGTCTCCAAGTCCACTAGGTACAGTCTGTCCCAGTGTCGCCCTGTTCTTAGACTATACGAGTTTGAACTGACAAAAAAATAAATTAAAATACGTGTATTTGCCCCTAATTAGGGCTGTAAATACTATAATCTACTAATGGCACAAGTATATTTATCAAGTAAAGAAGATAATTGGATTTTATGCTTTTGAAGTAAGATAATGGAAAAGTTCTCATCTTATTCCTTTGGCAAATTGACTTGCCTACCTGCAAAAAATCAAAAAAGAATACACCTTTTTGTTTTGTTTTGTTTTACTGTCCATAATATGCAGTGCAAAGATGAAATGGGGAAAGTTGAGAGTGGAAAAATGAGAACCTAAAGGCCTCAGGATGCTAAGGTTACTGAGATGTGTGTGTCTCTTTGATCAGACCTGGAGCCGCAGAGAAAAAGGATCACATCTCACACAACAATACCACGATTTGACCGTGAAGGAATGTGTGTCTGTGTGCACGGTTAGCCGAACTCCGCTCTCTTTTCCCTGTGTGACAAGCTGCCTGTTGTTTTCTGGTTCCAGGAAGAAATCTCCCAGAAAATATCCCACTTACATGTGAACCACAGCCATGCTAGAAAAGGCTTCCTCCCCCCCAAAAAAACACACACAAAAAAAACACAAAAGCTGTGCAGATTTATAAGAGGTTTCTGTTTGTTTTTCTGTTTTTTTTGTCTTGCTGGTTGAATCAGGTGAACTGTGTGCGTCTCGGTGGTGATGAACAAAATGGCCAAGTTGGACTTGTTTCTTTCTCTGCTTATAAATTGGCAAAATTATTTTCTTGCCATTTTTTTTTTTTATCCTACCTGCTCAAACATGTACGGCTGGAAGCCTTCTACACCAAACCAAGCTTCTGCCGCCCTGGCGTCCTCTTCCACAACATCTTCATCCCCGCTTTCCTCCTCTAAATAAAAAATGGATGACGGAGGAGACTCATCCACGACCTCCGACACTAAACTCTCCTCCTCTTGCATGTTTCCTCTGTCCATAGCGTTCCTTGACAGCGTCGTTTCTAAGTCACCAATTTAGTGCTACTTGGTCCCAATGGAATTTCCCATTGGGAACCTACTAGCACTAAGTTGCTAACTGGTTAGCAAGATGCTTCCGACAAACCGGCCACAACCAAACTGGCTTGTGAACCTTCCGCCACAACAGTCCCGCCCTCTTGATAATCGACCAATCACATTCACTTTAATTACTCGTGTAAAGTCGGGCACCACTCTGGGAAGAGCAGCTTCCCTACAACTTTAAAGGGATCCATGATTAGCTGAATATGTTAGCCTAAATATGTTGTAATTTTCATTTCAACGTAAAAAAAAAAAGTGCCGTTTGTGATGCTTTTTTTGTTTTGTTTGTTTTGATAATAAAAAAAAAATCATAATTATTTCAGTAATAATATATCCTCTGTTTTATTTTTTCACTCATGGAGGTTGCCATATTTTCCCCTGTGCAATGCATGCTGGGTAGATGCCGTGGTTAGGTCTAACTGGAACCTGCAGATTAAACACAGGAAGGCTAACATTAGCAGAGCTGCTTTTATCATCTGACTGGTGTAAATTCAGACAATGCGTCACTTTGTCGCTCCTTGAAAGTTTTCACGAGTCGTTATACTTGAGATATCTGTTGGAATAAACCAACTTCTGATCTACTATATCAGCTACAGCTAACACCGTTAGCTGAATCTAACATGAAATCAAATCAGAAGATAAGGACTGTTTAAAGTGACAGAGAAACATCTTTCAGTCATTGTAACTCATCATTTTAATATATCAGAGAAAATGTTTTGATCCTGATGCTAACCGCTAACAGCCTCAGTTAGAAACTGGAGCTCTTTGTAGCATCTAGGTTAGCATTTCCTAGCATTAGCTTTTTCAGACAGCTCTCCACTCTTCCTCCATTTGGTCCTCCTCATCTTCATTACGTCTTATTTCTACATTGTCTTAAATTTCAACGTGCTCCATTTCAAACTGGAAAAGTTGAACGCAACTGCTCTTTATCTGGACAGGGCTAGTGCTACAGGACCTAGCTTATTTAATTTACCCACAATGCATAGACTTTTTTTTTTTTATATTTCCCCCTACACTTTTTCCACTAATTGAAATGTGTTTAAATCCACATGAACATGAATTCAACAGACTGTAGTAAACAGATAAATGGAGGCAGAAGATGTCTTTCAGTCATCAATGCACACATTCAGAGACACACAGGAGCTCTTTCAAGTTGGGCACCGTTTCACTAACAACACCTGTCCCATCAACCAGGAAGCAGAAATACTTTAATAATCCCAGGGAGGGATTACTTTAGTTACATTACTCCATCTGTAATAGAGTGACTATAGGACCAGTTTGATAGAACACTATTTTATACAATATATATAATTAGGGGGTCCCCGCTCCATCGCCATCAGTTTGGGGTCCTTGGCCTGGAAAACATTAAAGACCCCTGCGTTAAATTAATACTTCAAAGAAACTCCTACTGATTCGAACAAGGTCTTACAGTTTGGGTGCATCAGCCGTGAGGGAAATTAGGTCTGCAAACATGAAATACAAGTTTGTCAATTTAAATTTGAGTGTGTTTTCCTTATTTTAAACCAATAAGATCATTTGTCGTTTAATACGCCATTATCTTATTTCAAATGTGTAACATCCAGGCCAAATACAGGATTATTAGGATGTTTTTAGATCAGTTTTTAGGGTAGAATTAATAAAGAATTAATAAAGATAAAACATTTAGATGAATAAAATGACCTTAAGTTGAAGATATAATAAAAGCTGACTTCTCTAGGAACAAAATGAATCAGAGAGCTCATGTTCCTCCTGGTCATTCTTCTTCACGTTTGAGCCGTTTGGCCTCCGTATGCTACTGCCAGGGTTTAGAAATAAACCACTTGGTCCAATTTCCCTTTTTCAGTTTGACATTTCCTGCTCTTGTTTTAGTGTCGACCTTTAAAACAAGAGAAGCAGAAGGACTCTTAGGTGCAGCTAAGATGCATATTATCCTTCAGTCGCAGAGAGACGGAGCAACATGTTCAGGAATCTGCCCGAGGAAAGAAAAACCCGTCCCTCCACTTTTCTGTGCGTCTCTCCTGCAGAGCTAATGGGAAAAACATGTCTGTTGGATGTGAAGGTGTAATTACAAGGCAGATGTTTTCAAAGAGGAGGAGGAGATTAAGCTGGGAGGAGGCGGGTAAAGGGAAGAAGACGGGAGGGGTGAGGACCCAGACAGGAAACAAAGGGACAGGTCAAATTATGTCCATCATCATTTCCTAAACTCTTTACTCTGAGTGGTTTTAGAAGATCAGGAAGAAAGGATGAACTTTGGAGCTTCGCTCTGATTTGGGTCGGCAGATTTTCAACCACTGCAGCAAAGTTTCACTAAATACCTCAAGTCTGTTGGTCTCACCGAGTCTGGAGCTGATTTATTTCAAAAGCTTTAAATTAAAATGAAACGATTAACAAATTAATAACTTTAAGTTGATTCTTTTTTTTTTTTTTTGCTTATATTTCCAATCAGCCTTAGAATAATGCAACCACTGCCGTGCCTGACAGGTTCTTCGGTTCTGAAGCCTCACCTTGGCTTATCCAAACGTTCCTCTTGTCTTTGTGGCCGAACGGGTCATTCTTCCTCTCATCTGAGGATAAAGGTCTGCAGAAGACATTATTTCCAGATGCTACTTTTAAGTTTAGGTTCTCAATGAAAGAGCTGTTCCAGCTGAGGAAGTTTGGCCAAATCTTAATCTATTTGGATGTATTTGAACTGTTAGGATCATTTTATTTCAAAGGAGATGAGAAAATGAAAAAGAAGCAAACAGGAAGAAGTGATTAGAGGTGAATATCTCAGAGTTTAGAGTAGGAAACAGTTAAAGAGGGGGGGGGTTCTGAAAGACTGTTCCAAAGAAAAATCTTCCGCTGCCCCTTTTCTCTTATGTTTAATTCTAGTTTCTGCCGATGGCTGCTCCTCCTCAGACAGCTTCAGCTTTAGCCTTGCTCCCGTTTATTGTAGAGGGTTTCTTACCACTTTCGCCACGTGCTTGCTTAGGAGGGACGGATTGCTTTATAGTTAGAATGGCAGCTTTCCTCCACCTGGCTTCATGAACTGAATGTAAATTCATTGGACTATAACCAGGAGCGCAGTTTAATCTGAATAAAAGGTTTGATTGAATGTAGACGACGATGAGTGAAGTTTCTATTCCATCTCTGCAGGAATCGAACACATTAAAGGCTTCAGAGTTTATCTGGAAGACAAAAATCCCGACGGGAAACGGTGTCAGCACCTCGTCCTCAAAGAACCGCGGCAGCTCAACTACTCCTACAGGAGCACGGTAGGACGAACGCTTCCGTCTCCGCCATCCAAGTCGCATCTTTTGCTTTTAATGCGATGCGAAGCTTTGATTCGAGAAAAGTTTGTGCCCTTAGACAAAAATAAAAAATACCAGAGCATATCATGTTAAGATCTTTAGAGATCCCTGATTCTTAGATTTATTGATCTATGTTTTGCTCCTCGTACAGAAGCTGAGCAGTCAGCCGTTCACCGGTTTGACCTTTGACACCGACTACATGGTTCGTGTCGTTCCTTTCCCATCTCTGATGAACGAAAGCGTCTTCCATCCATCTTTTCTGCGAACCAACTGTAAGCTGGATGATTTAAAACAAACAGCGTCTCTTTTTGTCAGAGAAGAAAGCAGATTTTTCATTCTTACCTGTTTTCCTTCCCACAGCCTGTGAATTCCTCCTTGGATCCGACAACCTGGTCTGCAAACCATGTAAGTTCCTGGTTGTGCTCGTCCTCAGCCTCATCCTGAGCTCACGTTACCAAAAGGAAGAGCAAGTCTGCTCCCAAAAAGCCAAACAATAAAACTAGCTCTTAAAAGAATGATGCCTAATTATCACATGATAATTACACAGCCCTGTGTTTTCAATAAAAAGCATAAATACAAAGTTCTGCTCTGCTGGGAAATGACAGAACAGAAGGGGAGGGAAAATGAAACTGGGCCATAAAGTTTGTTTAAAATGCATTTTTAAGTTGAAAAACTGTAATTTCAAAACTTTTCAAACTAAAAACAAATGTTTAAAATTTAATTTCACATATTTTTTTTATCATATTTATTTCTTTCTTGTCGTGAAACTGCTGGACCCTCGTTGTGGGGGGCGGGGCTTATAGTACCTGCTGTCGATGTTTATTTTCATTTATTCTTTACCAGCTTTTATTGTCATTAGACTCTCTAAAATACAGAGCAACAAAAATGAACTCTCGTCGCCTTGGGGAGCAGTGGAGGGTTAAGGGTCTTGTTCAGGGACCCACAGTGGCAGTCTGTGGGGCTCAAACTCTGGATTCCAAGCTCTATGCCCACTGGGCCACAGCTGACTTTTAAATAAGCTCTTTTTTCATATTTTTGGTTCACAAAATAAGTTTCTAATTCTTCTTTTAATTTTAAAATCTGTTCCTTTAAGTTTCCATATTTTTTTTCCTTTTATCCTTTTAATTTTTTTTTCCATTTTAAAAATATTTTGCAGTTTTATAAATTCATTTCTTTTCTGTTTGAATTTTTTTTCCACTTTTCAAATCATTTTCCAGTAATTATTTTTTTTTTCAGTTTAAATAAATGTGAAACAAACTTTTTGGCCCCAATTTGGCTCCGTATGTCTGCAAAAGGACCTCTTTTGATTTGGGTTAAAAGTTCTAATAAATACCTGATTGGAAATAAAATAAAAAGAAGCTGTGCTTGAAGTTTGGGGGATTTCAGGATGAAACGTTGGGATTTTCTCTGGAGGGTTAAAGTTGTTTTTATGTCTGTTCGAAGCAGATTATACCTGCAATAAAATGTTTCAGAAATCCCTGCAGCATTGTGTCAACGACCGCTTGTTTAATGAAGCCGCGCTGTTTGCCCAGTAAAGCTGCAGCAGATGGCTGAGTGAAATCTTTAGTGTCTTTGCACTGAGGCTGAGAACTGTACTTCCACATTATTTTATGCTTCTCTCTTAATGCGACCGTTAACCTGCACCAAATGCATAACTCAGGCTTATTGGCCTAATTAATAGACCAGTTTGCTCCTCTATATTAGTTATATATCTCTGTTAAAAAAGCGATAGAAAAATTGTCAGTCCTTGAGGATTTGTTCTGTGAGCTCTGAAGAGATAAATGGCATACATGAACCAAAAGATGCTTAAAATAAAACAATGAACTTCACAGCACGCATAACCTGTTAAAAAAACAAAGCCAGGCGTAAATAAAAGTGGTTCCAGCTGGAACCAAAGCTACGCAGTTTAAATGAGTCTTTAAAAGAGATTTAGAAGTGACTGATGTGTGCAGATGGGCAGAGCTAACCCAACCTGAGGCACTCTCACAGCATCTGGTCTCTCCAGCATAGTGCAATGATCCCTGGAAGAGTTCAGCAGTGAGGATTTAATTGGCATTGGTGCAAAAAATATCTAAAAATAAGACAAACTTTTTTATAATAAAAGTTTATTTAAGCAGGTAAATAATGACAATCTGACAGTATTGTTGTTTCCACCCTTAAAACAAGATAATTAGATATTATGGATCTGAGATAAGATTTCTTTCCTTTTATTTATGTAAATCATTGTATTCCATTGCCAAATTATTTTATTTACTTCTAAAATCAAGCGTAAATACTTTTATTTCAAGAAAAATTGACTGACTTGTTTTTCAGTGTAACTTTCCTCTTGCTCTTACTGCCCTTCAAAGGTGGGTAGAGTACTAGAGTACTGTGCCCATGTCAAAGTAGTGCTCCTTTAATATACTTCTGCTTGAGTTTGGAGAGTAAAAAGTTATTTAAAAGAGGGCTGTTTAGTTCAATTCTAATCAGTTTATTTCTATAGCTCCAATTCACATCATGTCATCTCAAGACACTTTCCAGTTCACCGGATCATCCAGTCAGATTGATTGAAAGTTTTCTATCTAAGGAAAACCAGCTGATTGCATCGACTCATTGACTCTTCAGCAATCCCTCACACTAAGCATGCTTGTAGCGACAGTGGAGAGGAAAAACTCCATTTAAACAGGAAGAAAGCTCCAGAAAAACCAG